AAAAAAAAAGAGCAATTTTTATGAAACAAAAATTAATTTGGTTACATGTAAAAAAAAAAAAAGATTCACACCCTGTCTCAAAAAAAAAATTTACTTCCAGAGACAAAGATATTGGTGGAAATACAAGATATTTGAAGCCAATAAGAAATATTTACAGGCTGGAGAGATGGCTCAGGTTAAGAGCACTGACTGCTCTGCCAGAGGTCCTGAGTTCAATTCCCAGCAACCACATGGTGGCTCACAACCATCTGTAATAAGATCTGGTGCCCTCTTCTGGCCTGCAAGGACACATGCAGGCAAAATACTGTATACATAATAAAATAAATCTTAAAAAAAATATTTACAATATGCAGCAAAGTCCTACATTTCAACCTGAAATACAGGCAGAAGAGAGGAGCAGGAAATTTATATGAGCACAAATTCCAAGACTTTAAGAACAAGAAGGTATTTCCAAAATCATTAGTCATGAGACAAAAACAAATCAAAGCAAGTTGGGAATGATACCCTACACCTCTTTGACAGAAATTAGGGAACTGGATGTTAAACCATGATAAAGAGGATAAAACAGTGCCCTTCTGTGTTGCAAGTAGGATGTGCTAGCAGAGCTTTTCTGGAGACTCGGTACACTTAGACACGCTAGTTTTATGTACCCCTATGACCCAAAGGCTCAGCAGTTTTACCCCTGGATTTATATTCCTCCACATAACTAGAGCACACACAGACTGCTATTCACAACCTAGTTTATGATGCTGAGGAACTGAGGCAATTTTGGCAGCTTATCTACAACAAAGGGAAGGTGAAATGCATGGCTGAAGCAAAGAATATCACAGAAATTAGACTTAACACATCACACTTAGAGGGGAAAAACAAGAAATAATTAGCTACACAACATACCATTTACATTATTTATACAAATGTACAATGGGTGAACCTTGTTTAGGACCAGCCAAGAAGCCACCTATAAAATGGATTTGTGACAATGTAGGGAAAGTTTGAACATAAATAGTAGATGATACTGACATAACACATAGGGTGGCAGTATAGTTTAGAGAAGGTCCCAGGGCTTGGTCCCCAGTACTATGAATAATAATAACAGATTGTGAGGTACTGAGAGACAAAATTACATTGTGTGTATAAAAGTCTGGGGGAAATGTTGAAGCTAGACAAGAGGTCCAGAGGAATTAATCACAAGTCTACATTTGTGAGTTTTTCTTTTGTTTTGAAATTTCCACAATGAAGAGTTTTAAATGAATTGGAAAAAATACACGCATTAAAAGGCATGTCTCTGCCGGGTGGTGGTGGTGGTGGTGGTGGTGGTGGTGGTGGTGGTGGTGGTGGTGCACACCTTTAATCCCAGCACTTGGGAGGCAGAGCCAGGCAAATCTCTGTGAGTTTAAGGCCAGCTTGGGCTACAAAGAGTTCCAAGAAAGGCGCAAAGCTACACAGAGAAACCCTGTCTCGAAAAACCAAAAAAAAAAAAAAAAGTCAGGAAAAAGGCATGTCTCAGAGGCTGGAGAGATGGCTCAGCAGTTCAAACAATTGTAGAGGACCCAAAAATGGTTCTCAACACTCACATTGTGAAGCTCACAGTTGCCAGTAACTCAAGCTCCAGGGGATCTGCCACCCTCTTCTGGTCTCTGTGGGCACCTGCACACACAAAGCATACATTTACACAGACACAAACATATATATATATATATATATAACTTTCTTTTTCTCAACAGGATTTCTCTGTGTAGCCCTGGCTGTCCTGGAATTCTGTAGACTAGGCTGGCCTCAAACCCAGAGCTCTACCTGCCTCCACCTCCTGAGTGCTGGAATTAAAGGCATGCACCGCCACCACCCAGCTCACATGATTTTTTTCAATATTAAAAAAAAGAAAGACAAGAAAACCAGAGACTGGAAATGATGGTACAAACCTGTAATTCCCAGCACTCGGGAGTCTGAGGTAGGAGGGCTGTGAGTTCAAGCCTGGTCTGGGTTACACAGCCAGTTCCTGGCCAGGCTTTGGCTAAACAGTAAAGCCATCTCAAAAATTAAAAAAGGGAGTGAAATGAAAATTTTAGAGAAAGATGGTAACTGTTAACAGAACATTAGTTGTGGAGACCGCAGGAAATTTGAGAAGGACAGAATGCAAAGTTGTGTGATCGCAAAGTGAATTTCAGGACAGCCAAGGGTACACAGGGAAACTGTTTTGAAAAACAAAATAAAAAAAATTTAATTTTAAAAATGTGTGTCTCTTATTACAATTGGAAAGACAATGGCTTCTGAAATGACTGGGAAACATGGATTTGGTGCAAGAAATGTTTCCAAGTAGCTTGGGGAACTGGTCTTTTTGTATTGGAGGAGCTAGTGTTGAAACTACCACAATGGGGAATGGTGTCTAACAACCATCCTAGTGCCTCTACGAGGAGATAAACACAACTCACCAATCTCTAAATGGCTACGCTTTGTTGAATGAGATAGTGAGTCATCCACCTCGTCAGCACCTGCTGCCGCCAGGAGGTGCCCTTGCACCGCATCTGAAAGTCAGGAACCTGACAATTGCCTGCACCTCTGGCAGCTTGGACTGGACGTGGAGCCCCTCGTCCCACTCATTCCCAAACTGGGGATCTCTCTGGACTTCTGCACCACGTATTTTTCGGGAGTGCTCACCACATTTCAGGAATCATGATAGAGATAGATAGATGATAGATAGATAGATAGATAGATAGATAGACAGACAGACAGACAGACGAGAGAGGGAAAGCCCAGCCCACGTATATTCATGAATAAACATGACAAAGTATAGTTTGGATAGAGAAATGCCTTCCTCAGACCGAACCTGCACAGATCATCTTTCCGCCCCTCGACTCTCGGTCTCAATTTCCTCGCCAAAGAACAACACAATTGCAGTGGAAATTAAGTTGTCTTAAGGGAGTTCTCGCTCCCTCCCCCCAATTAAGGGAGAGATTAGGTAAAGATGGGGTGCCTAGACTTCTGAGGCATCGCTCTCAGACGCCACAGAGGTTGAGAAAACCCCCTTCTAGCGGGACCAGTGAGACAACCCTTTGTCATCAGCCTCCCTCGCCAGTGGACCTGATAGCACGCTCCATTGTGATGGTTAGAGACTCCCCCGGGCTTACGGTTTCGCCGAGGCAGTGGTTGCTTCCTGAGCCCTTTTGACGCGCAAGCCGCGACCCTCTCCCAGGGTGGTGATTGGCCAGCCGGGGCTGACCTCCGCTCCGCAGTGCCGTCACCACGTGACCCCGCCCCCGCACGGGGGCGGCCATTTGTGTGCGGCAGCAGGATTGGTCGCCCCGCGCCTACGAGGGGGAGGGGAGGCGGGCAGCGCGCACTCGCGCGTGCGTGAGCTGGCGCGCGAGAAAGCGCTCGGTCGCGCCGAGGCTCGAGCGGCCGTCGCCATTTTGTAGGGTTCTCTCTGACGCGGGACCCGCCGCCACCGCCGGCACCACCCGGAGGTAGGAGAGACGCTGTGGGTGTGTGGGGAGCCGGGAGCCGGCCGGGCCGGGCCTCGGGAGGGCCGGGAACGCCCCGGGTCGGGGCTGCTCGTCTTCTGAGGAAGGTCCCGGGGAGACAAGGAAAGGAGGCGGGGCCCGGTCTCCGGAGGGGGCGGGGCAGGGGTCGGCAGAGTCTTTGTTGGGATGAAGGAGCTGAAGGTTGGGCAGCCGAGGAGAGGGGTTCAGGTGTGGGCGAAGAGGGCTTTTCGTTCTGAGTACAGGAGGAGGTGATGCTGCGCTGTGGACAGGCACACGGATTTCCCTCCAAAACCTTGTAACCAGGGACATTCGGTGTTTCTTGCTTTCTGCTTGGTGTTTTCTTCCCTGTGCTAAGCCTTGCAGCAGCCAACCCTGTAGATTAGGGGTGCCTGACCCCACGGAGATGTTGGACCTTGTGCATCCTGACCCCCGACCTTCTGTTGGCATTGTCACACGGCTTGCACACTACTGAGGAACAAACTGCTGTTCCTCTCTCAAAAGGAATAATGAACTATGTGAGGGTCGGGAAGGTATTAATCGTTGGGCCATTAAACAGAAATGCTGCAGCGCTATGCCATGTCTCACTTCACGCCTGACTTTTGAAATCTTGTTTGTAATCTGCCAGGCTCTTGTCAGGATGGTGAAGCTGTTCATTGGAAATCTGCCCCGGGAGGCCACAGAGCAAGAGATCCGCTCACTCTTCGAGCAGTACGGGAAGGTGCTGGAATGTGACATCATTAAGAACTATGGTTTTGTGCACATAGAGGACAAGACGGCCGCTGAGGATGCCATACGCAACCTGCACCACTACAAGCTGCACGGAGTGAACATCAATGTGGAAGCCAGCAAGAATAAGAGCAAAGCTTCAACCAAGTTACATGTGGGCAACATCAGCCCCACTTGTACCAACCAAGAGCTTCGGGCCAAGTTTGAGGAGTATGGCCCAGTCATCGAATGTGACATCGTGAAAGATTATGCCTTTGTACACATGGAGCGGGCAGAGGATGCAGTGGAGGCCATCAGGGGCCTTGACAACACAGAGTTTCAAGGTGAACTGTTCTGGGGCTTGGGTGGCAGAGCTTCGTGGAGCTAGCTCAAGGCAGGGGCAGCAACATAAGACCATGGGGCTGTGAGAGCGGCTTCTTCCATTCTCTTTTAATTGAAATGAATAGATGTTTACTATTCTTAAGTATAACTTACTCTTAGGGAAGTAAACATTTCCCATTAAGTTTACAAAGATATTTCTCCATAACTGTGGGGTCACAAACTGTGGCTTACTTTCTTTGAGCTGCCTAGGCAGGGAGTGAGGAAAGGCCTAGAGACTTAGTTGCTGCTCTTGTTGTGACCCAGAAGCCTTAGATTTTTATATTCTGATGCTTTGAATGATGGATGATGGTAGCACAGAGAAAAAAGACTATCTAGAGGAAGCCCTGTGTGAAAAGTCTGTGATGTGTTCAGTTGGCGGGGGTATCTTTGGGGTGTCCACAAATGTTGAGTCTGTGTGCTACAAGCAAAGCCAGGAAAGATGCCATAGGTTCTTGTGATCCACTTATCATTACTTACCTCTAGTAGGTTAAAAAATCTTTCCGTAGAAATTCAAGGTTGAATGGGAATGATAGTCTTGCTTCTGGGGAAATTCTAGTGAGGGCATCATAGAGCTTACTGTATTGCTTACATTGACAATAAGTAACTATGTGTTATCATTAATAACACAGAATGTTGTCTGAAAACCCTGGAATTGTGTTACTATAGTAGCCACAATCTACATATAGCTAGTAAATTTAAATTAATTGAAGTCTCCAGTGTGGGCATATTTCAAGAATACCAGAGTCATATGAGGGAAATGGCTCCTGTATTGGGAACATATTAACAGACCCACATTGCAGGAAGTTCACTGGTTAGCACAGTCTACAAGGCTTTTATTGAGTGTCATCTAGTTCCTAAGTCAACACCCTTTTTTTTTTTTGACATAAATACCACTAAAAAAGTTCAATATACAAAGCTAAACCTAGAAAACAATGAAATTATGGGGAAAAGGGAAAGTTTTAGAACTCAAAGAAAAATGACAGTGAGATTAGAATGAGGTGATAAGTGCATTTTGCCAATAAAGGCAATATATAATGAAAGGTGAGCGCAATTGGCAACCGTGAATTTTTTCCTACTCTGGTTAGAAAAATATTCAAAATGTGATAGTTAAACTCTCCCACCCCCACCCCACTCCTAGACAGGGTTTCTCTGCGTAAGTCCTGGATGTCCTGGAACTCACTTTGTAGACCAGGCCACCACCACTTGGCTTAAACTTTTTTTAATTTATATTTTTACTTTGGAACAATGCTACTACACTTCAACTGAAAAATTCCTAATTATTCTCACTTGCTATGGAAGGTGGTCATGGATGGACAGGGGAATGGAAGGAAGGCGTTTTCTTGCCCCACCCCCTTGGTTCTGGTATAATCTGAGGGCCCCACAAATGCTGGGCAAGTGCTCTACCAATGGCCTGTATATTCCCATCTCTGAAGAAGGGTTCACTTATCAGGTAACAAAATAAATGGGAAAAACTTAAAACCAAGTACTAACTTTGCAGATAAATTCTCATAGTATGCCCTTTTAAGTTCTAAAGGAAATGGGGAAATAGGAGTTAACTTAGAAGGATGAGTCATGTGGTTTTCTTGTTTGGTTGTGGGGTGCTAAATATTGAACCCAGGGTCTTGAGTATGTTATATACACAGTACCCCTGAACTATGCTCCTTGACCATTATATTTGTTTAGTAACAAATATAATTACATAAGAAATGGGGATCTGAATAATGCAATGAAGGTATTTTATTATATATGTACATATATAATCACTTCCATAGAAAGTACAGACAATAAACTGAGTTGAAAAAGAAGAATCATTTATTTGGTTTCACGTTCTCTTTCTGGCTCTTATGAAGAGTGGTTTATACACTTATGAAGTTCAAGTTATACATGCAGATATTTTTGTAATTGGCTATTTTTTTTTCCAGGTGGCAACAGCAAGTTTAGTATTGGATATGAATTGTTTGTTGAGACAGGGTCTTGACATGGCCTAGGCTGGCTCTCAAACTCAAAATCCTCCTACTTCAGACTTCTGAGTGCTGGGGTTTTATGTATAATTCTGTCACATATCTTACAGAAAATACAATCTAGATGCCAATTTGACATTTTGTTCAATTTAAAGTCTTTTTGGTCTAAAAAGTGCCACTTTGAGCATCTTTTGAACCTTTATTTCTATGTATTAATGGTTGTCTATAATTTATATCTTGCATTGTATAACTTCTAAAGACAGAATGTGAGTTTACCTGGGTCTTTCAAGATGTTTCCTCTCCACAGGCAGCAGTGAATGCAGTTTGAATTGGAAACCATAACGATGCTGTTCCCAAGTAACCATCCGGGCAGCTGAATTGGGAAGGATATGTAAGAATTTAGGGGTGTCATTTCAGCATCGGTTGATCATTATTATGTCAGCTACATCTCCAGTCTTCTTTGGACTCTGACCCAAGATAGAATTAGAATTTATAATTAAGTTTCCCACCTTTTAGCATTTTAATACTCTCTTTTGTTCCAGCTTTCAAGGGAAAATACTTTTAGTGGGCTGTTTTTCTGGAAGATATTGGCAAATTTCAGTAACTTGGAGGTTTGAGAAATTTTACGAGTTTCATCTGTTTAGTAGAGCTGCAAAACTTCTGTTTCTAAAGATAACAGAGAAATATAGTACTGTTTAAGAATTTGAGGTTTTGGGGCTGGAGAGATGGCTCAGAGGTTAAGAGCACCCACTGCCCTTCCAGAGGTCCTGAGTTCAATTCCCAGCACCCACATGGTGGCTCACAACCTTCTGTAATGAGATCTGGTGCCCTCTTCTGTGTACATAATAAATAAATAAATCTTAAGAATTTGAGGTTTTAAATTGAAAGCCCCTGTAACCTTTGGAAAGAATAGGTGTAAGACAATGGAGCCACCTATCATTTATATTATAGGTGTTTTTAAGCTCTAGGTCAGAAAAAACAACTTACTGGCATCCTTTCCACAACTACAAATAGATTTTGCCACAAATGTTGATGAAGTAAAGCACTCTCATCCTCTTTTAAGTTAAAAGTAGGAACAGGGCTGAGACTTAAGGAAAAATCACTGTATTTGTCACTGTGTCTGTTGAAAGCCAAATGGCTTTTAATCCTTTAAATTATAGAGAACTCTACATATGAAGTATTAATGGGGACACAAATGTTTCTGATAAGTATATAGCACTGTAGCCCTTAATAACTATATTATTGGGAATACTTAAAATCTCAGATGGCCACATGCTTTCAGAGAATTAATGCCATCTGCTTGCTATCTGTCTACTGCATCATCATCAGTGGTCTTGTGAAGACTATCTACTAGCAGCTGGGGTCAGAAGTACTCCCCTTCCACCCAAGACAGGTTTCTCTGTGTAGTCCTGGCTGTCTTGGAACTCACTATAGACCAGGGTGGCCTCAAACTCGGAGATCCACCTGCCTCTGCCTCCTGAGGGCTGTGATTAAAGGTGTGGATCACTATACCAAGTCCAAAAAACGCTGATCTTTTTTTACATGGGAAGAGTCTCTAAAAAGCTAAAAAGCTAGTACTTACTGGACCTGGCGGTGGTGGCGCATGCCTTTAATCCCAGCGAGCCAGGCGGATCTCTGTGAGTTGGAGGCCAGCCTGGGCTACAGAGTGAGATCCTGGGTAGGCACCAAAACTACAGAGAAACCCTGTCTTGAAAAATAAAAAAATTAGTACTATTTTTACTTTATTTTTGTGTGGTTCTGGGGATGGAATTTGGCTTTGCACACAGGAGCCAAGTGCTCAACCATTGAGATACATGTCCAGCCCCAAAAGCTTTAAAGTTTTAATACCTAACTCTTGTAAGAGGCTTTGCTCAAATAGTTCTGATCCTGAGGAAAAAACTAGGGGTGGGGTTGAAATATACAGAGGTCCTTTTAATTCGCACAGGTACAGATGAAGCCAAGTAAGACTTGGGTACCCAACATAGCACCTGCACACATTCCTGGAGGAAACATAGTGGATGGAAGATTGCTGTTGAACTGGGATTGTTGTAGGGTTTGGGGTGATGCAGTGCTGGAGGTTGAGCCCAGGGTGTCATACATGCTAAAAGGCACGTGCTTTTTCCATTGAGCTTAGACCTAACATGAATTGTTTAGAGGTGGAAAAGATGACTTCTAACACCACTGTTAAGTGAGGTTTTGTTAGGTATCTATCTAGTTTGATTTGGAAGTAGTAACCTAGCAGTCTTAGTGAAAAAAACAATCTTTGCATGGGGGAAGGAAACAGATTGTGGAGATGGAAGTAGGGGAGAGTCTGATATGCTACTGGCATTAAACAGTATATGACTGGTCTCGAAGAACTCTGATATTCTAGCTCTCACCTCTGTTGAAACTTACTTTTGGAAGGGGTTGCTGAATGAAGTAGGTTCACAGGAGTGTGTATGGATATGTATTTTATGTTTACTTTTATCTGAGTGAGGAAAAAGCATGTTAATGAGTAATAATAATTTTAATCTGTTTCCTCAAGGCAAACGAATGCATGTGCAGTTGTCAACTAGTCGACTTCGGACTGCCCCTGGGATGGGAGACCAGAGTGGTTGCTATCGGTGTGGGAAAGAAGGACACTGGTCCAAAGAGTGCCCAGTAGACCGTACAGGGCGTGTGGCAGACTTGACTGAGCAGTACAATGAGCAGTATGGAGCGGTGCGCACGCCCTACCCCATGGGTTATGGGGAATCCATGTATTACAACGATGCCTACGGAGCACTTGACTACTATAAGCGCTACCGGGTCCGATCTTATGAAGCTGTGGCAGCAGCCGCTGCAGCTTCTGCGTACAATTATGCAGAGCAGACCATGTCTCATCTTCCGCAAGTCCAGAGCTCAGCTGTACCCAGTCACCTCAACTCCACTTCTGTTGATCCCTATGACAGACACCTATTGCAGAACTCCGGCTCAGCGGCCACCTCAGCAGCCATGGCCGCCGCCGCCGCCTCTTCCTCCTATTATGGCAGGGACAGGAGCCCACTACGTCGGAATGCAGCTGTGCTCCCTGCAGTTGGAGAGGGCTACGGTTATGGGCCAGAGAGTGAGATGTCTCAGGCTTCAGCAGCGACACGGAATTCTCTGTATGACATGGCCCGGTATGAGCGGGAGCAGTATGTGGACCGAGCACGGTACTCAGCCTTTTAAAAACTGGAGGTGAGAGTTGGGTGGATGTGGTTGAAATTCGCATTTAGTTACCTACAAGAGACCTTTGCTTCACTGAGGAGCCAGAACACCAAACAAGACCCTACCCAAAATGCACAAATTACATGTTTCAGTATTTTCTGTAGTTTCAACCACAGGTTTATTTAAATTAGCCTGTTGAGGAGTTAGTATGATTCCAGTGTGTTACTTCTCAAATAGTAACAAGCTCAGTTAATGAGAATATTATTTTAAAGTTGTAAGCAAGCCAGGCAGTGGTGGCACATGCCTTTAATCCTGGTACTGGAGAGACAGGCAGGTGGATCTCAGAGTTTGAGTCCAGCCTGGTCTACATAGTGAGTTCCAGGACAGCCAGAGTTACAAAGAGAAACCCTGTCTCGAGAAAAAAAAAACAAAAAGGAAAAAAAAAGTTGTGAACAGAAAAATGGTATGGGGTAGGGGGTTGGAGTGAGGTGTGAGGAAGCTAACATACATTGGCCCTTTGTTGTATAAACAGTTATTTCCTCATTTAGGAAAGAACTAAGTCTTTAGTTCTTTAGTAAGAGAGCATCAGTACTTTGCATATGATCATCTGGTAAATGAGAGGTAGAGCCAAAATTCAGACTCAGACCTCTTAAATTCATGCTTTTTCCAGCCAGGCAATTTTGGCACACACCTTTAATCCCAGCACTTGGGAGACAGAGGCTGGTAGATCTAAGTTTGAAGCCAGCCAGGTCTAAAGAGTGAGTTATAGGACAGCCAGGGCTGCAGAGAAACCCTATCTTGAAAAACCAAAATAAATAATAAAATCAATACTCTTCCCACTACTAAACTGCTATGGTGGTGGTAAAGGGTACATTAGGGAGCTAGTAATGGACAGCACAGTGAGAATTTTAACTCTTAACTTCAAGGGTTTCCAGTTTCCTACCTAGTAAAACACTGCTTGGAGTAGCACATGGTGGTTCATACCTGTAATCCCAGTGCCAGAGAGGATGAGGCAAAAGGATTGTAAGAGGATAGACTAGGTTACTTAATGGCAAGTTCTAGCAAAGTCTAGGAAACACAGAAGACTCCTGTCACAAAAAACAAAACCCAACTATTTCTTGGGTCATTAGCATTTATCAAATGAAGTTCTTAGGCGTGTTACTGTTTAAATCAGATAAAGCCTTAATGTTTTAAGACACTTCAGTTCTCAAAGTTTTCATGATGTGTTGTTCCAAGTCCTTATTCTAGCCCACAGCATGTTTTTGTGGGCACTTAAGCCCTATTTCTTTGTAGCCTATGATAGAATTCCTGTTTCTTTCAGCAAGTTTTTTTTTTTTAAGGGAACACTCAAGTAATTAGATAAATTGATAATTTCTGATATACATAAAATCTTGTAAGTGGTGACATTAGAAATTTAATGTTTCCCTATTTCAGGAAGTGTGTACAAAGAGTGTTGGAATGGCAAGAATTGGGGATATTCAGAGACAAGTAAACTTCATTAGAATGGAAATGGCATTAACAACATACAATTTTCTCATGATTTTCCTTGTCCTTTGAAGTTGAGCATCACTTGAGTTAGAGCCCCTTCAGTGCGGTTAAACAAATTACCACTGAGACACCAGTGTTCCCAACTTATCCCGATTTTGTATGTTAAGAAAACAATGGCATGTATGTTTGTTAAGTTATATGCTGTACAGTTGTGTCAGTAAGACTTGGGATTTCTTAAGATCATTCAGTCATGTTCAGCATGTGAATGGAGTTTGCTATTAATTTCTACAGCTGGATCTACTCTGAGATACCTCTGATAGAGTTAGTAATTAATCTGTTAAGATAACTTTGTTTCTAAAGTATGTTTAAAAGTTAAATATTAAATTAGTATAATATAGCCTTTAAGGGTATTGTTAGGACATCTTAAAAGTGAATTTTAACTTCAGTCAGTAGCTGTTCAACTAACCTCTTTTTAGTGATGACTTTTAAAGAAACTTACCTTCCAGGTGTGAACCTCAAATGGACTGAATAACCCTGAGTTGGTTGCAGTCCCAGGAGCCTGATGTTAATGAGGCTGCCAGGATGAAATACTCTACAACTGTTGGGGATCCAAATTCGGGTCTCACCCTAACAGAACTGATCCAAGAACATCACAGCTTTTGAAGTCGATTGGCACAGATCAAGACCAAGATTTGGCCCTGTGTCTGTATTAAGTAGAGGAGCTTGGTGTGAGTTAACTTTTTTTTTCCCCCAGCCATTGGTGTCTGGAGTTCCCATCATCAATGGAAGAATTAGACAGTCCTAGCAGTGGTTTCTTCTTTTGATTTGTCAAGGGATATTTGGTCAATTAGAAAACTACTGCAACTATGGTTCTCAACTGACAGTGTGACATGTAGACAACTTAAAGGGTGAATGACCAACTGTTCTTTGAGACTCTATCTAGTCTTTGTTACTAAGTTTTCTTGAATGTTTTCTTTGGAACATTTGTAATAGTAAAATTGGGCTGGGCATGGGTGGTGGATGCCTGTAGTCCCACCTACTTAGGATAGCTTTAGAACAGAAGTTCATGGTCATCGTGGGCAACATAATTAAATCCCATCTCTTAAAAAGGAAAAGAGAGAAACTGACTATATCTGATATCTTACCATCTTTTGCTTTCTTTCCTGAACAAAATTCCTACAAAATTAACCTGTAGTTATTGAAAATTTATACCTTTTTTGAAGCAGTGGTAGCCTTCCACTACATGGGTTACATAAGTTAAGACAGGAGAAAGATGAGTTTGCATCTTGTGCAGCATACAGCTATAAGCAGGTTCCTAGATGTAGCTATTAGACTCCTGGGTGATTTTGTGGGATACACATCCAACCCAGTCTGACTTGATTTTGTTTTGTTCTTTGTTTCTCCCTCTCCCCCCCTGGAATACAGGACGGGACCAGGGCCCTTGTACTCGGAACCAGGCTGCTCTCCAGGCATTGTGTAAGCCTCTTGTGTTGTGCTTTCTTTCAGGTAGGATAATTGCGGACTGAACCCTCGGGCTGCGGTCATATATGAGAACTTGGTCCTCGCGGTCCCCTTTGCCGGGATGTTTCCATTGCTTCATGTTTCAGTAAACAAAGGAATTTGTGACCAACTATGTTTTTTTTTCTTAATTTAATTCTAAGTTAACTTCTTTCCTCGATGCTAGTTGTCTGTAGCCTTTCACTGTTCCTTATATTCTCAGCCTCTGAACAGCCCTAGGTAAGGATTCTGCTGGCATCCCCCTTTTTCCTGTACAGTGGAGCCCCTAAGAGTTGAGCCCTTTGTCCCTGCCTTCCTGCAGCATCTCCGTTCCCTTTAAAATGACCATGTAGTGGCAAGCAGCCTTTAACTCTTCTGTTAGCTCTGGACTCTAACACTGAAGCTAAACTTCTGAAGTTGCTAGGACCATTGGGGTTTTGTTGTTGTTTTGGTTTGATTTTTTGTTTGTTTTGTTTATTTTGTTTTACCGGTTTTGTCTGACCTGTGATCGTGGTATAGCATTAGCTGAAATTTAGCCTTGTTTTATTCCACTCCTCCCATTTTTTTTTTTTGACAAATAAATGTTTCTAACACTTAATCTTTTCCTAATTGAGTGACTGTTATTTACCACTAGTGTCTTCTGATTCTTTCCCAGTTGTGCTTGAGCTATAGAATTCAAATAAGTGAATGCCTAAAATGTAGAAGGAAGTTGAGTGGAACAATATGGTTTCAGAAATAGACAGCTGAGCAAAGTTAGCTTGTGTCTTGAGACACTGGTCACTTTCATATAGCTGGTGGTCAGGCTCCTTTCTCCAAATAACTACAGCTATTCTACAGAGGACCCAGCGCACTAGTGATAGAAGCCCCACAGGAAATCCTGTATCATAAGGCGGCTAAGCTAAAGTATCTAGTAAATCCTATCAAGTGGACTTAATTTAACATCATAGTGTGCTGGACAGGTAGCTCAGTTTAGAAGCAAGCAATTCAGTTCCCAGCACCCACATAGTGGCTTACAATCATCTCTATATACCTCCAGTTCCAGGGGATCTGTGATGCCCTCTTCTGACCTCATCAGGCATATATACATGAGGCATCCTACATATATACATACAGCCACTTACACACTCACAAAAAAAAAAATTTTTTTTAATATTTTTTAGAGAACATTTTAGGCTTGGATGAACACCCTCCCCGGTAGGCTTGATAAACACTCTCCTTGCCCTACCCCCACACATGGTCCCTCTCCCTTTCACCACTCCTGTGTTTTGAGACAAATTGTCCCTATGTGGCCCTGGCATGTGCCATATAGAACAGACCAGTCTCATACTTGTGGTGATCCTCATGCCTCTGCCTCTGCAGTCTTGGGATTAGACGTAAGTCATCATTCCTGGATGTTTTATCCTATGTTTACTGGGGGAAGGAGGGGGGCTGGAAAGATGGCTCAGCAGCATGAGCACTGGGTGCTCTCCTAGAGGATCTGGGTTTGATTCCCGGCACCCACATTGGTGGCTCACAACTGTCTGTAACTTCAGTTCCAGGGAATCTGATGTCCTCTTCTGACCTCCAAGGGTACTGCATGCATGTGGCAAAACGTCCATACACTTAAAAATCTCAAAAACTTATTTAAAAAAAAAAAAAAAAAAAGCTAGGCATATACCTCCGTGGTAAAGCACAAAGCCCAGGGTCAGTTTCCGTTTCTCCCCACCAACAAAAGCGGAGGGAGAGGGTTATTCATGTAAATTGACTTAAGAGCTCTTAAAAATGACTTCTTCTCAAAGTATTAATATTTCTGCTGGGATCATGCTTTAGCTAAAATGAGTATAAGATTGATTTTGGTGGGGGATGGGCATGGGAGGATTAGTTTTTAAGACAGGATCTGTAGTTCACACTGGTCTTGAAATCACATGTAGCTGACATTCTGAACTCCTAATCCTACCCCTTTAACCTCTAATGTGCTAGGATTACAGGTATGCCCCACTACACCTGGGTCAGTAAGGCAGTTTTGCTGGATCAGAAAATATACTTTGAACAGAGAAAGAAACAGGCTGAGTCCAGGACATACACCTGTAATTCCAGCACTCAATGTAAGAGTTAAGATTATCAGAAGCTGGAGGTCAGCTTTAGTTACATAGTAAATTGGTAGCAAAAGCTAGCCTGAGCTTTTGAGACCAATCTCAGAAAAACTCAACCATTTCTCCAGTCTCTCGTAATTTTTTAAGTTTTATCTATTTATTGGGGGGGGGGGGGAAGGGGAGAGAGAGAGAAGAGAGAATGAGTGTGGGTACCTGAGTGCCAGTGCAGGAGCACTCAGGTCAGAAGAAAACTTTTAGGGGTTGTTCTGTCCCTTCCACCACAGGTTCTAGGGATCAGGCTTTTGCAGCAAATGCCTATCTCAATGGCCCTTCTAAAAATTTTTAAATTGAAAAAAGCAAAGTTGGGCGAAGGCAGGTGCATCTGAATTTGAGGCCAGCCTGGTCCACAAACTTGAGTTACAAGATAGCCAGAGCGTCACACACAAACTGTCTCAAAAAAGCAAAAATAAATAATGCTTTTTTTTTTTGGGGGGGGGGTGTCTGTATATGTATACACACAGGCTGAAATAAGAGGTCAATACAGGTTATTTAGCTAAATTAGCTGGCCATCCAGTCCTGGGATCCTCTTGTCTCCCCTTTCTATATCTCCCAACTCTGGTGTTCACCTCAGCCCCCAGTTTTTCCAAGAGTCCTAGGGATCTGACCTCTGGTCTTACGGCTGAGCAATAAGCACTTTAATTTTTGAGACAGGGTAGACTAGCTTCACTATTTAGCTTTAGAGGACCTTCATCTCCTGATCATCCTGCCTCCTCAGTGCTGCAATTATATGCATGTACCACTGCACCTAGTTCTATGCAGTCCTGGGGATCAAACCAAGGGCTTCATGTGTAGTGTGCAAGTACCCTACCAACTGAGCTACATCCCCAATTTACCCCAGAGTGGCCACTTAACTTGCAATATGGCTAAGGCTGGCCTTGAACTCCTGATTCTCCTGCTTCTAATCTCCCAAGTGGTAGAAGTAAAGGCATAAGCCTCTAAAACCAATCCCGAGTTGTTTTTTTGGTTTTTTCTTCTTCCGTGATACAGGGTTTCTCTGTGTAGCCCTGGCTGTCCTGAACTCGCTCTGTAGACCAGGCTGGCCTGGAACTCAGAGATTCTCCTGCCTCTGCCTCTCCAGTGCTGGGATGAAATGTGTACACCACCACCACTTGGCCCAAGAAAATTTTCTAATCAATCCTTTGAAGGTCTTTAGCTCCTATATATTAAAACTGAATGATGAACAAACCTTGCTTAAGCTTTACTGTCACCTATACAGAAATGGTAGCATGAACATTCTGATTACATGTGAAATTTTCCTCTTTTAGGTGAGGGTGTCAGAGATCAAATACAGAACCTTGTGTGTGCCTAATGTACTTGCCCCTAAGTTAACCCCACCCCACCCCACACATTCTACTTTTTAAAAGGTTTTTGTTTTACATGAATGGTTCTTTTGCATGCATGTGCCTAGTATCTGTGGAGGCCAGAAGAGGGCACTGGATCACCTATAAAGGCATTACAGACAATTCTACCACATGGGTGCTGGGAATCAAACAAACCCCAAATCGTCTGCAAGAGCAGCCAGTGCTCCTAACAGCTGAGCCATCTCTCCAGCCCCTTTTACTCTTTTGAGATAGGGTCTTGCTTGCTTTGTTATCCAGGCTGTCCTCAAACTATCACCCTTCACCATCCTCTCTCATGCTTTGATTACAGAGTATACCACTTCTGACTCCACATATCTGATGCTTAACAATTTTCTGACTTTTTGAGTAGAGGCCAGAATGACAATGTTTAAAAGTCCATGCCCACACTCCAATTAGCAAATGAAGTACAAAAAGCTCGTGTTAATTCTAACATTTCACAGAAAGGTAAGACTATCCTTGTTATCACACTAAAGAAATTAAGACAAAGCCACTGGGACTTCTTTGTGATTGATATGCACACTACCAGGCAAAACAATAAAGATGTGTAGCTATCAAGCCAGTCATGGTGGTGCACACTGTTAGTCCCAGGACTCGGGAGGCAGAGGCAGGAGGATCTCTCTAAGTTTGAGGCCAGCCTGGTCTAAATACAAAGCTCCAGAACTGTCTCAAAAAGCAAAACAGAAAACAACAAAAAAATGGGCAGGTATTGACCTCACCAGAATCAAGTGGTATTCTGCGTTAGGTTTTGACAAACTTAACATGATAGTTTAATGTATCTTGATCCTGAACACCCTCAAATCATTCGCAAAACATGCAAGGAAAAAAACCTATACAAATAGTTCTCTAGAGTCATGGCCAGATAAAACTTGGCAAAACTTGTATTGAATTGTTCAGTCTGCAGCCACATGTAAATCTTAAGTATTTAAACTACACCTAGTAGTACTCAGAAATTCAATTTTTAAAAAATTTCCATTTGTGCATGCCTTTAATCCCAGCACTCGGGAGGCAGAGCCAGGCGGATCTCTCTGAGTTCGAAGCCAGCCTGGTCTAGAGTAAGATCCAGGACAGGCACCAAAACTACACAGAGAAACCCTGCCTTGAAAATTACATTCTTTATGTGTATATGTGTATCTGTGTGACTATATGCCATGTCTAGGCAGGTGCCCATGAATGCCAAAAGACAGCATTGGATACCCTGGAGCTGGAGTTACAGGTTGTGAGCCACCACGGGGGCAGGGAGGAGATGTGAACCAAACTCAAGTCCTCTGGAAGGGCAGCATGCTAAGCCATCTTTCCAGCTCCATGAAACTTTATATAATCTAAGTGGCTAATGACTACTACAACGTGATAGTGAAATTTAGAACTGCCAAGAAGTAAACAGATGTTTTTTATTTCTAAACTTCAGTTCTTCCATGAGAAGCTGCATACTGTAGGTACAAAATTCCTTTCATTCACCAAGATGAAGTTTCTCAACACAGACTTCCCAAGTCACTCTAAATGCTCCTGAACTTTATCTGCTATTTGAACTCCTGCGCTGTACCAGGATATGGTGGTGATCAATGTGTTCCTACTGAAGAAGTGAACCTTAATTCAGTTGTGCTAAGCACTATGAAAGGCCAAATGTATAATGTACAAACATCAGAATACTATAGAGAGAGGATGGCTATCCCAAATGGAGGGAAAGGGAGACACACCCATTAGCCAAAAAGGCAGCTCTGAGGATTGAGCAAAGTTGTGGAGGAAACCAAAAGAGTAAGTGATGGTAGCCACTCATGCTGAGCCTTGTAGAAGACTGTGAAGGAATTTTTTAGAAGACACAGACTTATCATAAGCTCATTAATTTCTCTTTAGAGATCACTGATGGAAAAGAAAAGAAAGAACAGATCGTAGATGAGGTCTAAAACAATACCCTGTAGATAGGAAATGGTTCACAGATAAAGATTATCAAGTGGCAGTCTGGAGGGAGGGCTTCAATCTCTGAAATCGATCAAGCTGACTTTTCTATTCAACAGTGGCTGAGCACCTGCGGTGGGCCAGGCCATGTCTGAATGAAATAGTACAGAACACGGGATGACAGAGTCACTTGGAGATCTTAAAGAGACTACTGAGATGAATATGAAAGGTAGGTTAGGAACAGGTCTGAAATCAAAGTTCTGGGGTTAATACTGCATTGCCGCCGCCACTTACTTGCACTTAAAGATTAAGAATGGAAATCCTGATGATATGAAACACACTTGCAATCCTAGGACTTGAGAGGTAAAGGTAGCAGGATCAGAATTTCAAGTTATCCTCTACTACACAGAGAACTCAAGAATAGTCTGAGTTACATGAGTACCCCTCAAAGGACTGAGGACCCAAGTTCCATTGCCAGCACCCACATTGTGGCTCATGTCCCAAGGGATCCAATACCCTAGGTACCAGGCACAAATGTGGTCCACATACACATAGGCAAAACACTAATACAAAAAAAATATTTTTTTTTTTTTTTTTTTTTTAAGCAGAACTACACTAGCCAGGTATGGTAGCACATACCTTTAATATCAGTGGTGGCAGGTGAATCCATGAGAGTTCAAGGCCAGCTTGGTCTACAAGATGA